TTTTTATCGTAAAACTCGAACGATAGGTCGGATCGAGATGGAACGGGAGAAATTTCGGCCGTGGTTCAGAACGCGACCGTGTCGAAAGATGTAAGTTTCGAATCGGGGATGCGGGAGATCAAGGCTCGGGACGTCCGGGAAGTCTCTAGTTCGTCCAACGGCGAACTAAGCCGGCTGGCTTAGTTCGCCGGTGGGCGAACTAGTCGGGACGAGACTAGTTCACCCACCGGCGAACTAAGCCAAGCTGGCTTAGTTCGCCGGTGGGCGAACTAGTCAAGGGTCTCCTAGTTCGCCGGTGGGCGAACTAGTTGCGACTAGTTCGCGTTTTACGGCTGTTTCGGTTTTTTGCGGTTTCGTAAAACGATTCTCGAGTTTTATAAAACGATCTTCCAGTTTTATAAAATGATTCTTCGAGTTTTATAAAATGATTCTTCGAGTTTTATAAAACGATTCTTCGAGTTTTATAAAATGATTCTCGAGTTTAATAAAACGATTCTTCGAGTTTTATAAAACGATTCTCGGGTTTTATAAAACGATCTTCGAGTTTTATAAAACGATTCTTCGAGTTTTATAAAACGATTCTTTGAGTTTTATAAAACGATTCTCGAGTTTTATAAAACGATCTTCGATTTTTATAAAATGGCTTCGTGGGTTTTATAAAACGGCTTCTTGAGTTTTATAAAACGATCTTCGAGTTTTATAAAACGGCTTCTCGAGTTTTATAAAACAGCTTCTCGAGTTTTATAAAAAGATCTTCGAGTTTTATAAAACGATCTTCGAGTTTTATAAAACAGCTTCTTGAGTTTTATAAAACGATCTTCGAGTTTTATAAAACGGCTTCAAGGGTTNAAACAGCTTCTCGAGTTTTATAAAAAGATCTTCGAGTTTTATAAAACGATCTTCGAGTTTTATAAAACAGCTTCTTGAGTTTTATAAAACGATCTTCGAGTTTTATAAAACGGCTTCAAGGGTTTTATAAAACGGCTTCTTGAGTTTTATAAAACGATCTTCGAGTTTTATAAAACGGCTTCTCGAGTTTTATAAAACAATCTTCGAGTTTTATAAAACGTCTTTGTGGGTTTTATAAAACTATTCCTTTTGTATTTTGCGGGGAATTTTGACTATTGATTCCGTCGTACCGATTTTGACCCCAACACCTTTTACTTGCTTGTTTTATTTTCTTATTTAGAATTTCATCATTTTGTCTTAACTTGATATTGATCCCATTGAAATAAAGTGTAACATTTGGTCTTTTTGGATTCAATCCTAAAGTGCTACATCGACATACCATTCGATTGTAGTAGTGTGCACATTAGGTTAATTGGTGTTCATATACACGTAATATCAACAAACATGTTGTGTCTATCTCTTATTGATTAATCTCATTACTGTGAACTTGTTAATATTAGAAACAATATTGTTTTCATGGATTTCGTTCATGAACCTAGGACTTGTGGCTACATGCTTTTGTGATTTCAAGCAAAAGGACAAACATGTCGATAAAGCATTGAGCGATACCAAGCCCAAGACATCGATCGACGGTAACAACAACCAGTTGATCGATACCCACCCTTCGACATCGATCGACGCCAATCCTGACCAAGGGCATGATGTGGCTGTTCATGATCACAACGAGTTTATTTGAAAGAACATGAAATCGAGTATCATGTTCTTGCACTAAAGGAAGCTGCAGATTTCAGAAGACCTGACAAAACCTGGAACACGACGTCGATCGATGCTGGTCCCCTACCATCAATCGACGCTAACCTTGCAGAACCCAATAAGAATCGACCTTGGAGATTATTCATTGGGAATCCAGGGATGAGTATGGAGTCTTTAGAGATGAAGACGTCAATGCACGAGACTTAAATAGTGGAATCATCGATGTGTCAAATGTAGACATGAAAAGGACTCTGGAAAGAGCAGAAATAAAGGGTTCCATTGGTCTGCACTTACCAGAGAATGATTATGCCAAGCCACCACTTGGAAATTATAGTATAGAAGAGGTGGATGATATGGTAGATAGCATCTACAAAACCCAGGAGTATATGATAGAAGATTATCACAAGAGAATTGATAATGTCTACCACCCATTCGACAACAGTATCAGCTAACAACATGCATGAAGGAAATGAAGCAAAATATGGACTCAGCTCTTGAGATGGTTCAGAAACAACAAAAAGAGAGAGGCAAATGAAGGACCATCGATTGATGGTATCCGATTGACCATCGATCGACGCTACCTGGAGACCATCCGGATCTCGACTGATCAGCACAAAATTTCTGGAGGATAGGCTTGATGAAGTCTATATATTTCAGAATGCGATGATGGAGGATATCAACAGAACAATGAATGATGCATGTGCCCATACACAAAGATACCAGAATCCGTTGGTTTAACCAATGTATTGATCACCTTGAGGACATGATCAGTCTTATTGAGCTCACAAGAGATGTACAACAAACCAGAGGTGAAGAAGCCATAAGAAGCTTCGTCAGTATATTGTTCCAGATGAGCAGAGAGGATGTGGACACTTGTTTTCCAGAAAGTGTTTCTCTACCCCCATCTTAGTCCAAAAATTCTTAACGTCAAGCTAAAGACTATAACCAAGCGCTAAGTGAGAGGCACCGACTATTAAATATGTTTTACATTGATTTTATTTAAATCATTTTACTTAATTTTTATTATTTATTGCAAACTAAAAAAAGGAAGTTCAAAAGCCGCCATCGGTCCACGATGGAGCACTACCGGTCAATGTCATTAGCTCACCATCGATCGACACTCGTAACAGTGCATGGTATTATTGACTTTTCTTCACAATTTTATTTATGTTTTTATTTTTCTCACCTAACCAAGACGTGATAATAAATGGGACAGTGTTGTTTGGAGGAGGTTTACTGATATGTTTTCTACTTTTAGTTTTATTCTTTTGGCTTTTATTAAAAAAATTTATAGAGTCAAGAAGTAAATTATGATTGTTTTAATTTTTGCTTATTATCCAACCACTCTATAGCATTATTCTTAGACTTGCTGATAGCAGAGTGTACCAGAGATACTAAAGTGGATCACCCTGCCATTAGATCACACTTGCTTAGAACGTTTGAAGAAACCGAAGCTGGCCTTCAACCCTAATTTGACTTATTTGCTTGCTTTTCGGCTTGGTATACATTGGATCAGATTCCTCGTGCAAGTATGGAAAGTGAAAGTCTGTGTATTTCTGGTTCTCTCTCTCCCTCTCTCTCTCTCTCTCTCTCTCTCTCTCTCTCTCTCTCTATCTCTCTCTCTTCAGAATCTACAAAAATAATTGAGATGATTTCCTGAGATGCAGAGGGGTAGGTACATTACCGATGACCCCACTATTCACCGAAACTTTGTCAAAAGAAAAAAAAAAGATGAAAAAGGTGGACTCTAGCAGCACCATTGAGTCATTGAATTTATAAAAAAGTGATTAAGAGAAGAGGGAAAAAGAGGGAAGAAAGCGATCAGATAAGACTGTCTGTGTTTTCAGAAACTTGGAGGGTAAGTGTCCAAGTATCCTCTTATCAATACTCCCAAGGTAAAGCCTGCATTTTTCTTTTATGAAAAAAATGAGGCTAGTAGAGGGGTGAGTCAAGCTAATATTTGCTAGTTGCTGGTAGAATGAAGTTGGTTGCTAGACTAGGATATGGTATATAAAGTACCTCTGAGGTTAGCATTTAGTTCATGTGGCTGCTACATAATAGAGTTGATAGTAGTAAGTTAAAGATTTTGTAAGTCCTTGTGATCTCAAACCTCTTTCAGATAGTCGATGTCGTCTGCCTACCATCGTTCGACGGTCAATCTCATCCGGCATATGAAAATTGTATACTCGGAGCTTAATCACAGAGATAGATATAAATTTGATATCTTTACAAATTAAATTTTTGTTCTATGATTGAAAACCTCTTAGCATTCTATCCATTTTCCTTGTTTGCTTACAACCAACTATTTTCTTATTTACTTGTCTTTAAAATATAGCATAACTAAGCTGATTATCAAATATATTGTGTGTCCTCGCTCTCAGTGGATTCGATTCTGAAGTACTACAGTTAAACCTCTTATTTGAGATAGTAAATAATAAACAAGGGAAAGACTATGTTCCAGTTAGCGTTGTTGGTGGTAGTTGATCAATAAAGACACATTCAAGTGGACTTTTATATGTAGTTGTTTTCTATTCATTTGATGATTATCATCAGATTTATGATCAAAACTGTGCATTGGAGACCTAGGTCTTGAGGCGTTTCTCATGTGGAGATTCTTATGAGAAGTAATCGATTTTGTGTTGAAATCAATTGTTCTTAAGTGCTACGTTGAGATTGTAATCTGTTGTATTGTATTCAATTCAAGTTGAGATTTACAGAAAGCATTCCTACTTAAATCTTAACAAAGAAAAATTCTCAAGAAGAAACAAGTTAAGAAGAAGAGTTGAAGAAGTTAAGCTGGGCGAAAATAGTTAATTGATTGGTAATAAACATTAGTTTGAATATTAATAGAAGTTTCAGTTAGAGTCAGTTTTATAATTTGGAGTGAATCTTTAACTTGAGGAGAATCTCGACTGGGTTAGGCCAGCTACTCTCATTAATTTGTTTGCAAAGTGTAACCAGTGTCCTTATTAATCAAGAGAAGTATATAATTGTTATAAATATTTTCTCTTTTTTTATATAATACTTTTATATAAATAATAATGTGAATAAAATTTGTCAAATCATATGTTAGAATGATAATAATAAAAATTTATACATTTAAAACTTCAAATGTAATCAAGTTATACATGTATTTATATATTACCAGATCGGATATCTACTTCCTAAAATTTTAGTATTTGTGGTTTGCTTCGATTTTAACAGATATTGAAGTTTACTATTTGTTTTGCTTCGAAAACTTACGGATATTCAAAATTTTCGGATCAAATCGGAACGAATAACGAATCGAATCAAATTTAACGAAAAAAATGTCCAGCCCTACCTACCATACTGCATAACCTGAGTTTAAAAAATATCTTCGAATTAATTTTTTCCTCATTTTCTATTAACTCATTGACCAAAGTGTGCTGCATGCAGTGCGCTTAGGGCAATTCCGAACAAGGCTCAGGACTTGCACAACACAGATTTACATTGCTCAATGAACAAAGTGGTGAGCGGGTGTTCTGTACTGTGACAGGGCTACCTATACATTCATGTCCACAAGTCTTTACGAAAATGCTTCTTTGATCACAACATATAAACTATAAGAACCCAACTTCGTGGTGCAAAAAAACAAAAAAAAAAACCCCGAGGTGCTGAACGACCCTAGTAAAATACCTCAACTCATGCGACAAAGTCAGAACCACTCAGCCATGCATTTAGGGTAAAGCTCACTCTCAGTAGCAATGGATGAGAGTCCACGAAGCTCCTTCTGAACTTTCCGCCTCTCGTAAAAGACTGAGCACGCAAGGGAATTGCATTTCACTCCACATTGCACCACCCAGTCTCCACCACCACAGTGTCTGCATATCTGCAAATAAGATAATCAATATATAAATTGCATCTACAGAGATTTACTATCAACTTTAAGCACACATGGAAAGAGGTCAACAGTCGTTATTTTTCGTCATATAGCTGACATTCTGAAACTAGTCTCAACTCTTTTAGCATAAAATATTCTGCAACTACCGTGCGATGAAACTGTCTGTTCAACCTTAAAAGTGTACGCAAGATTAAATGCAAATGCTCACGCCAGAAAGTATAAAGGTTTCAGTGAAGCATGTTTCATCCAATCTTTTGGAAAGTAGAGACTGTAAAAATGGCTGTAATACCAGGATCTGCAGACAGTCTATATAAATGTTAGATTTTGGAGTACTTGCCGTGGCTAAGTGTTGCATCTCTCTCTCCAATTTTGAAGTCTTCCAAGCAATGGTTGCAGCAGCACCACCATTTTTTAGGCACCGATTGCATAGCTGAGCAGATTCCTGAACAACTTCCCCACACAAGAGGCAGTGTTTTGAGAGATAAAAATAATCAATTCTAGTTTTGTGCGAGTTTCTAGAGTTTAAGGGACGTTGACCAAGGGAGCTTCTGGTGGGACGTGGCATCTCCAAAAACCATTGGTTTAAGTCTGCACCTACAAGCCCAAACACCCTTTGCAAAGCTGGTATAATTTGTTTGTTGATGTAGTATAAGTCATTTAATCGGTAAGGCGAATCGATGTCGAAAAGAACCAGTGGGTCCACCACCATATCAACAAGTCGAGCTCCTGGCTCCCCATGGATCACAACATAAGGCACTCGTTCAGCATAGCGTGGCTCTGTCCGAGGGTCTGCTCTCATTGCTTTGGTTGCCACAATAGCTGCTGGAGGAAGGAGTGAAGAGTCGCTTGTGCTATAAGTCCCCAACCGAACTTCTTTTGCAAAGACAAAATCTTGAAGAGACATTCTCCCTTGTAGTATACGTTTCCACTGTCTATACAAGTACGACTTAACCTGCACAATGAAAAGAGAAAAGGCAGTGTAAGCCACTGCAGTTTTCAGCTAATACGTTAAAAGAGGGAAAGAAATCAAATTTGTACCATAGAGATGTCCTTCTTTTCAAAGAAGAGTCTCAATGACTGCTCCATAGTTTTTGTAACAGCTTCACAAGTGTCTCTTCGAACCGTTTCAATACCTTTTGCATCAAATGTAGGCTTGTTCTGATCGGGACTCTCATAACTGTACCCAACGTAGCGCTTCTTCGTAAGAAGGAAACAAGGTTGATAGACTTTCTCCATCTTTAGAGTGACTGGGTACGGATTCATTTCAGTGATTCCAGATGCAATCTCTTGTCCGACTTCAAAAGCTTCTTTAACTGTTCGTCCTTTGAGGAGGACAAACATACTAAAAAAAGAATTAAGATGATGCATGAGGCCACACGGAAGAAATAAATATAGAAACTATGATATATATACTTCACTTCATCCAAATGAGTAGATATGGAAATTACCTATCTGTGTCGCCATATACAACTCTAGCGTTCCAATTCTCATTGGCATTGACGAACGAAATAGCCTTCTCAAGTGTGCTACGACCACACTGCACGATACTATCTGCCAGCTCCGCACAAGGCATTCGACCACTGAAGCCAGCAGCAGCATAGCCATATGTCACATTTGCTATCAGCTTTAAAGCAAGCTGCCTCGCATTAAATATCTGTAAGAAGACACCAAATACTATCGAAATTGCAAATTTTATTTTAGAAAAACCTGTAGAAAACGTTCGTAGATAAAACAAGAGACCAAAAATTAGGCAATCATCCGTAGTCAAAATATGAAGTATGGAATCTGATCAAGATAATAACCATACCCGACCAAGCACTGCTTCTGAAGGAGTCAAATTTTTCATTGCTTTTTTCACCATTATTCTTGTAGATAGAATTTCCTCCAGCAGCCTTGGCAGTATTCCTCTGCGAACCTACATGTAAAAAGAGGAGGTGATTGTTATGCTTAAGCTATCAGAAAAAAAAAGAATCGATCTATGCAGAAAAGAATGATGTTATAGGGAAATGAGATCATTTGTTTGCACTGAATATGATGACTTTAGATTCAAGATTCAATTTTCTCATGGAAAGCAATTCACATTACCTCTGGTGGCACGTACATAACACTGTTTGGGGTCTGCAGGATCTGATTAAAATCCCGAAGAACATCAAGATCTAGAGAGTATGAGCTGACCCCAAGGGTGTTCGTCTTCAAATGTGCAGGTTTTCCGAGGCATGTACAAAAGCACAGATTATATGCTATAATCATAGAAGGGTAAAGAGATTGAAAGTCCAACACAATAACAGGATCATCGTAGAAGGCAGATTCTGGTTCCATCACAAGAGGTACACACTGCATAGCTGGCTGAGAAGCAACCTACATAATCACATGATTTAGTTAGGAGAATCGAACGAGTAAGAAAGGTGTTGGAAAAAGTTTTGAAGATCAACAGCTAGACATCAGTTATGGATGCTGTGATGGGGAGGAAACAACCTATGGTGTTTTAAAACGGCTTCACCCAGCCCAACGTTTGAGGCTAGACGAGTCGACGATAAATCCAAGAAAAATTATAAGTAAATCATTTGGAAGTAGCGAATACCACGAACCTGTTGGTTTCCTGGAGAAATAGCAAGATAATTTTGTGTGTGTGCTAATCTCAGAAGCATGGATTCCACTCTGTACTGGGAACCTCGGGAGAGAACTGAGAAAAAGTCGATGCCAAAAACACGAGCAAGCTCTGACGTGCGATTTATCTGCAAAAGATGATTTAGAAGATAAAACTTGCATATAAATCAAGTTGAAAATGTTACAAACCATGTCAAGTTGGCTCATTATCTCAAGCGTCAAATTTGCTCGGAGTATCACATACTCTATGCATCGATATCTTGCACGTGCAGGACCGCTTGAGAACCACTGTGTCAATACTTCATAGGGGATTGATGGAATCTTCTGTCGCAAAACAGCCTCCGACACAGCTTCAATAGTGTACATGTTGAGTTTCACCTCCCCACGGATCAAACGCCATGCATTGAGAACAATTCTACCTCCAACATGAACACCACTAGCATGTGTGCGGCCCCATTCGTCCTCAATCACCACTTCTTCCACTTGATCAGGACCGGCTTCCAACCGATTTGGCTGCAGACTACTACCAAAATTTTTCACATTATCTGAATCATTTCTCGTGGTTGGAGATGGTGTCCTAGATATATTATCAAGAAATCTTATACCAAGCTGTGCAGCCCTTTCAGCTAGAAAACCAAGGGATCCACCCTGTATATCCCAGCCCACAAGAATATCTGGATCCCATTTACATACAGTCTCAGTAAAATAACTGAATAGTTTCTTCTCTTCAAGGAAGAAGCACAACTTGCATCCAGATAGGCCATCAACATTTCTGTAGTGAGGTAACAATAGCAAGATGGAAAAGTATATTAGAGAACTAAATGACTAAAGTTCAGGGGGGCGCTGTCGTATGACAAACGTAATAAAACCACAAATACTTCAGCTGCAAAATATATCGAAGACACCAAAATAAGTAATTTACCTCTGAGAAATGATATCTGGACTAAATAAAAGTACGAATACTTCAGCTGCAATATTATCATCATTCTGCACAACGAGAGCTATGACATTCACAGAGTCAAATCGTGGATCAGGTCGAAGGTCCCCTCTAGACTCTGCATGAACCTGTAAGTTTATAGATATTAACATTATATCAAAGAACTCTTTCCCAGAAAACAACATCTTAAAGTAATTCATTTTTTACCACAGAGAGGAATTAAGTGACGGCATTAACATAATATAATAGGCCATTTCACTCATCTCTGAAGAAATGGACAACATACATCATAATTATTGTACTAAGACAACTCCTTAACGAGCTGCACATTCTGACTTTCTAAGTTAAAGTATTCTCAAGCATTGAACAAATGATTATTACTCAAGTAACTGCAAGATCATCACAATGAAAAAAGAACATCATGTTGCACGGTATGAGGCTCAAGAAAGAGAAACTGTGTCATGGGACATTAAGTTTTTTATCCTTGCAACGAGTTGCTTTACGTGAAATGAGGGTTTAATATGTACAATTCAAAATGTCAATGACTAATTATGTGTGTAACTTCACCAAAAAAAAGGAGATAAAGTTAAAGAACCTCTATACTCAGCACTGTTAGCTGTTGCCCAGCCCCCATGCTAGCAGGATCTCGGAATCCAATTTGACTTAAGGGAGTAGGCCCTGATTTCCCATCAGGACCAGAAATCTGAGACAGCTCTTGTGAACCAGTGGTCTGCAAATTAAGGTTAAGAAACTTTCCTTTTCCTTTCAGATTTATCTCAGACTCCGTGTAAGCATTTGATTCTGAATTCACAGAAACGTTATCATACTGCTCCACGTGCTCAGACACAGACATCACATTAGATGCAGTGAAACCTGTCCTGCAATCAATATGATCCTCTCCTAGTGGTTGTTTTTCTGAATCAATATTAGAGTCCCCTAGACCTGGAAAATTCAAAAGTTAATAAACTAAAACACAAACCAACATTTTCACTTGCTTTACAACATCCAACACAATAATTATTTTATAACACAGTACTATCTTCGTAAGTAAAGAGGCCTTAAGCGACGTATATTTAACCTTTTAGAGGATGTAACTCAACACAATACCTGTGTTATTCGATATCCATTGTGAAACAGAATCCAAAGGAGGGGGTGAAAAGGCAGGGGTCATTAGGTATAGGTTTGAGCCGTCACTGAGATGATGCAAGGGAATACCAGGAGAAGCTCCTTGGAAAATGTGTTTCTTTTCGTTGTCTTCGGTGTCCTCCAAGGAAAAAAATGGGATCTCCTTGGAATTCCCCTCTTCCAAGAAAAGAAGCAACAGGATATCAGAAATAATCTAAGTTTGAAAAACAAAAGAGACCTAACTTCAATTTTATTAATTCACATTTCAACCGCATTTGCATTGACTGTAAGAAGCACACACCAGAACCGTAACAAGATGAGTTTAAGTACCATATCCATCACGTGTAGAATCCTGCAGTCCAGCACTTAGGCAATCAAGTGAAGAAGGCTTCTTGCTTAAGGTTAGGCATATTAATCTACCTGTCTCAACAGTTACATTGACAGTTGACTCTTGCTCATCCCCAGATTTTTGGACATTATTTATATCAACCCCAACAAGCTTATTGCTAGACACCAAGATTCCCGATTCCACAGTTTGTGAATCCTTACCAAGTGGAACATTGGCAGATGAAAATTTCCTCGAAGGTTCATCACTGTCTTGACCTGCTGTCTCTTTAGCCGAACATCTATCAACAGATTGAAGTTCAGATGACTGAGTGGATATATTAAACTCACAATTTTCTGCATCTGTTGGAGATAAATTTTGATGAGCATCGCCAAAGTAACGTTCACTAACTTCTGCAGAAAGAGCAGGACGTGGTTTCTTGTCCTCAGATCTCAAGATAGCCATGCACTCCTTTTTCTTCCCATCCCCGGAGTCTCTAGTCACTGTGGTCAGTGGTAGAACCTTCCTAAACTTCTTATGTTGTGAACCAGGCGAGTCCCCAAGGACCACACGTTTTTTCCTCATCAAGTCACGCAGAGAATATCCAGCCAAAACGCTTTCTTCGATTGTGTTACAAACATCTGCTTGATGTTCTTTGACTGGAACATTAAAATTGTCCATCTCATTCATGGGGTCGGAACTAATATTTGGTAAATCAAGCTTAGCGCTGGCATTTGTATTGTCAAAGTCCTGATGAAGATTTTTTGTCACGGATACAGGTAGAGGCCCCCATACAGACTTGGTAGACTTGTTACTCCTAGAGAAGCTTGTATTCTTATCCTCCATCACTTCACTATGTAAATCACTCTTTTTGTATCTCTGCAATAAATTTTCGTTTGATGCATCTGAAGTTGAGATATTAGGAACATCACTAGAGACTTCCGTGTCAGTAGATTGTTTGTCTGATGAAGGTGCAGGTTCTTGACTATCAAGATTAGTATGTAAAGCTCTTTTCGTAGAACTCCCGAAGTCTAGTTGACCCCCCTGAGAATCAAGAATGTCTTGACATTCCTTTTGGGATTGGCTCACATAATCTGTACTAGCCATTTCAAGAACCTTGTTAATGGACGCTAAAGGAACCAAAGGGCTAAGAATTGTTTCGCGAAGAATTTCATCATCGGAGTTTATGTCCTCTGCAGCCTGGGATGAGGCAAACCACTTAAAGAGACCCAACGCTTCAGCACCTTGTATTTTAGCAGGTACATCTCTGTCCGTGGGTGTTTTCATATATGCATCATTTTCCAGTGATGCTTCTCCCCTCTCATCAAGTGGAGAAAGCTTTTCTGATGCAGAAAAATCACTCCGTGTACCAACCATATGATTCAAAGCCTGCAGATCCGTAGTTTCAGGTTTGGCATGCATCTCTGAAACGGCTGAAGACACTGCAGTAGGCTTCAAATCAGGCGAAGACATGCCAATTTTGCGATACATTTCTTTTAGCATATTCTCAAACCCAATATAATGTGACATAGTCTTAAGCACATCAGCTGCAGAAAGTTTTCCAGGATCAGGAGGTATAGGTGCATCATGCACGCCAGTCCTTTCATACTCCTCCTGAGAAAACAGTGACAAGGTTAGGTAAGGGGAGACCAACAAAATAACTTCAAAGTATAAAGCTAGGAAAGTTAGGATGAACCTCCCAAATTGCCACAAGCGACTGAACCATCTTAGTATCAGACTGGGCTTGTGAGAGGGAGTTGTACATTTTAAGTTTTTGATTGAGAATATCTACAAGACAAGATTATAGCTCAAAGGGTCGCTCTTCGTACATGAAACAGAAACAATTATACTTCGTTCAGGAATTACCACTAATAGTAGCATCTCCCTCAAGTTCACAGACACTCTGTCGTCTGTACTGGTGACTATGCTGGCTCTGGCTCAACAGTGTATCAGATTCTTCAGAGAGATTCCACATCCATTGACCTGGGATTGTTGACAAGCTCCAAACAGGGAAACTGACGTTTGGAGTAGCACTAGAACCTACCTGCTACGTTATGAAATAAAAGAAGATAGTAACTATCAAACAATTGCCAAGCTTCAATTATTTGAAGATCTACCTTTGTACTAGCCACGTCGTCAATCCCTTGTCTAGCCACGTCGTCAATCCCTTGTCCCACACAATCATCCAAATCAAATTTCCTTGGACGGAAATGGTGAGGCACTGGACTACGGAACTTCATCTTTGATATATGCACATGACCCATTCCATACAAATTATAGTCAACCTACAGAAGTGAATCAAAGAAAATTCAGTAGTGGACTTTCAGGCACCAGTCTTAAGCTGTTGGAAAAGTATTATCAATCTGGAAGCTAAGCTCATGTGAATTTACTAAACTAAACAGAATACAAAGGCGTCTAAACGATGCCTTTTGAGAATATAACAAAGACAAATTACCAGAAACTGGAGAATAAAAGGAATATGAGACTCGTAAGGTTGCAAACTTTTACCAAGAATAGCACCTGCCTAGAGAAAGAGGGGGAAAAAAGAAAGCACATTATGAAAGTCAGATGAAAATAGTCATCAGTATACTATTTTCACCGAAATATGTGTATCATACATAAAAACGGTGAAGTGGAATCATCAAGACGTCATACCAGAAGAAGACTGGCAGCGCGAGCCACATCTTGTGGATGGTAGCTATTGTACTGTTAAAGTGAACAAACAAGAAACTTGCAAAGAAAAGAGTAGTGCACCAAAAGTAAACATAGAGGATACAGATTAATCTTCAGAAATGCTTCCTCCGCTGAGTGGTAACCATAAAACTTGTTTGCTCTAACAATCTCACAGTCATGAACATGTTGCCTTTTTGAAGCAGCACTGCCCTTAAGCTACAAGTCCATATAAGGTAGACACAAACATGCGAATAGAAAAGTCAGATAGATACATAAACGCAGAGGCTCATAGTGTAAGAAATCATGGCTGAACTGGTATGTGAAAAAAAAACACCTTTAGAGCCTTGTCCAACGCGAGTGATACCGCAGGTATGATTCCATCAACTGAAGTAAAGAAAAAAAAGCATGAAACATGTCATTGGTGCTTGACTAGTCGATAGAGTGGTGGCTTTATACCTCCGTTATGCTGATCAAGTGGAATATCGGAGCATAGTATATAGAAATATGGTAAAGCCTGCAAGATGAGAAAAATAGTTTTTTTTTTTTTTCTACTTTTGTAAACAAGAAAGTAAAATGAAAGAACTTACTTTGTCCAAAAAAAAAAAAAAAAAAAAATGAAANCCTGCAAGATGAGAAAAATAGTTTTTTTTTTTTTTCTACTTTTGTAAACAAGAAAGTAAAATGAAAGAACTTACTTTGTCCAAAAAAAAAAAAAAAAAAAAATGAAAGAACTTACACGGTGAATGTGCAAGCAAGTCTTCTGACCAGCAGGTGTGGAACCATATATCCTTACAACAGGGACTTCCTTCACTTGGCCACCTTCAAATCAGGTAGAGAAAACCCCAAACAAAATCCATCTTTTTATCTGGTGATGACGTTTAGTGAGCAAACCGTAGGATTTAACAAGCTGAAGCTCTTACCTTGAAAGCTGCTGTAGCAAATATCATATGCAGGGATGGGAGAAGCCATGTAATAGTCGATCGAAACAATCCGTACGCTGAAAACATTGGGATCCGACAGTGAATCAGCCATGGGTATCCTCTGACTGGAACCCTGAATTTATGGTACCCGGCGATGGATTTCCTAGTTAGGTCTCCGACAAAATCCCAAACCGCATTTATTTAATCAAGTAAAGTAAGGAGTGACATCATCCGCCTTCCCCTATTTGTCGCGTTTTAACAGAGTCAAGTCTCAAGACATGATTAACCCACTCTTAAGCATTACCATAAGAATAATGCTCTTTATTATACGACAAAATCCCAAACCGCATTTATTTAAGCCATTTTTGCAAAATTAACTCAAAATTCAAAAGTCAAATACAAAATTAACTTTTTTTCACTCATCTTTCTTTTATCCTATTAATTCTATATTTTCATTTTATCTACAAAAATGTCATTAAAATTCTTTAGTAATTTTTTTTCGAAAATTACTTTTTTACTCTCTCAACCTCATCATCTTCAAGTATTTATAACATTTTCATTGCCATGATTACGCCCAACAACTTTGTACAACTCAACAACCTTGTACAACTAGTTTGAAGCTTTTAATGCACTTAAAATCAATACTCATACTTTCTTTCTCAATTGTTATGAACTAAACATCTCATTCACTTTGTATCCATATTCATACAAAAAACTCAAGCTTTTGATTTCAAAAATTTTATGGTTGATAGAGCCATTTAAGCATACAATTCTTGGTGGGTTACTTTCGTTTGATGTTCTCGGTGGTTGGAGAAGACTCTATGTGCAAAGGAATTCATCTCACCTAGTTTAAGGTATGAAATTGAAATTTTTACCAGATATGTTCGCGTAGAAGACTTACTTGTAAGTCTTCTGGATGTAGAAGACTTACGGATAAGTCTTATGGTCAAACGGACGACTTACTTCTAATTCTTCCAGCTTTGTATGTTAAAAAAAAAAAAGCTTGACGACTTATAAGTAAGTCGACTAGGAAAAACGGGCTAGTTTTGCATTTGACCGAACTGTGTAAGATATTTGACTTTTCTTACACGACTTACCAGTAAGTCGTCTCTGGGAAAGTTAAATTTCAATATTTTATTAATTCAAGACGACTTACGGATAAGTCGTCTTAGGTTAGTTTTGTAATTGAAAAATAAAACTTTAATTATAACTTTTTCCAGAAGACTTAATTTAAAGTCGTCTGGGTCGTCCAGCCAGACGACTTATTATAAAGTCGTTCGTCATAAGCAAATTCGTCAGCTTTTTTTTTAACATACAAAGCTGGAAGACTTAGAAGTAAGTCGTCTAATTTAAATTTCAATTGCAAAAATGACCTGTCTGGAAGACTTATCGTTAAGTCGTCCGGACGACTTACCGTTAAGTCGTCCGGACGATTTACTTGTATGTCGTCTGCGTTAATGTTTAGTAAACATTCATTTTCTCTATGTTTTCTAAAGTGTTTTTATTTTGAATTTTTGCAGATGATTCGTCAGTTACATGCAGTGTATGGAGAATGGTTGTTCAAAGATGGCTGTTGGGATTTTGTGGTTGATAATTTCAAAGGAGCGAGAATGTTTTTTTTTAGTGAAGGTTCGACACATGTTGAACTTGTTTCAATAGCTCAAGAAGATTATAACCTGGACATGAGCACAGTCACTGTGGAGATAAGCTACTCATTACCAGCAGAAATGAGGATGGCTCCAGCCACCCCTCCCATTCATGTTACAAGTGATAGACAAGTTCGAAACTTGCTCGAGATAATCAAAACGCATAGAGTATGTCTTTGTGTATCAAGCTGAAGCAAGGTGGAAACGGTTTCAAAGGAAAAGGAAGAAGCTGATGAATGGTTTGAAGATGATGAAGCTGATGAATGTTTTGAAGATGATGATGATAATGATAATGAGTTGGTTGAAGATGAAAATCATGATGGGGATGAGGATGATGGGGAGAAGGATGATGGGGAGGAGGATGCTGATATCTCTATTGTTTATGAAACAGACGAGAATTGTGAGGATTTAAGTGTTTATGGAAAGGTTAAAAATGAGGATGAGGAAGAAGATGATGATATTTGTTTTGAAGATTTTGAAAAGACATATGCTATTGAATGAGGAAAATCGAATGGTAACACTATCTATGTCAGCCAGAGTTTTGTTAGCAAGGATGTACTGCTTTCAGAGCTGCGGTTGACAGCAGTGAGGCGTAAGCTCTCCTTCAGAATATACAAGTCAACGAAAACTCTCCTTGTGGCAACATGTCGGGTTAGTGGTTGTGGATGGAAGATCAGAGCGAGTTTGAAACATGGGACAAGCACGTTTTGGGTAACAAAATATGTGGAAACACATACATGCTCAGTGGGAGACCGAAACTCTCAGCGGAGACACTGTACTCCGAAGTATGTTGGTAGGCTTTTCATTGATCGTGTTGTAATCATTGATGGGTTGACTCCACAGCATATCACTGATGCAATGAAGAACATGTTTGGCATGACGCTTGATTACACCACTTCATACATAGCACTTTTATATGCACAAACATTGGTGAGAGGATCAGCAGAAGATGGATATTCGAGTCTGCCATCATATCTCGAGCAAATCTCTTTAACAAATCCCGATTCTATCACGGCTATAGAACTTGATTCTATCAATAGATTTAAGTATCTATTTCTCTCTTTAGGAGCTTCTATCAAAGGTTTTAAGTATCAGAGAAGGGTCATTGTGGTGGATGGGACTCACCTAAGTGGGAAGTATGGAGGTGTTTTGTTAATTGCAGCCGCACAAGATGGGAATTTTCAGATATTTCCATTAGCTTTTGCGATTGTAGATGTTGAAGATGAACCTTCTTGGGAATGGTTTTTCACAAAATTGGCTAATTGTGTATCTGATGAGCAGTCTCTGGTGATAGTCTCCGACCGGCACCCGGCCATTAAAAGTGCGTGTGATAAGGTGTTTCCTTGGGCAACCCGAGGAATATGTTATTATCACCTTCAAGAAAACATTGTCGAAAAGTATAAAGGGAAATATATGTTGTACTTGGTGAAAGGTGCTGCTTATGCTCATACGGTTTCAGATTTTGACCGGTACATGGCTGAGATACGGAGTGCAAACCCGGACCTTGCAACGTATTTGGAGGATGCCGACGTTAGCCTATGGTCAAGGGTTTACTGTCGCGGGGACAAGTACAACATAAAAACAAGCAACATTGCTGAATCTATTAATTCCGCACTAAAGCGAGCTAGAGGATTTCCGATTCAGTTCTTGTTGGAGTTCATAAGGGAGAAGCTAGGTAAGTGGCTTTGGAAAAGGAGAGAAGATGCTTTGAGTCTCCTAACAGATCATAGTCGGGTGTTGAATACTTGCTTGCTGTTCGATCTGAGGTAGGGATACGATGAGGGCCCAACCAATTGATGGATGAAAATTCTTTGTGAAAGGTGGCAAAATGGACTGTGTGGTTGATTTGGAGAATGGGAAGTGTGATTGTGGTGTCTATCAAGTGGAGAAAATACCTTGCTCTCATGCTATAGCTGATGGATCACATGCTCGTCTGCATATTTCCACTCTTGTACATCCAGTGTACTCAAAGAATTATTTGTTTACAGTATATTCAGAGAATATATATCCTTGTTCTGAACAACAAGTTGAGGAACGCACATGCGATCCTTCGGCCGAAAAGCGTGGTCCGAGGAGACGGAAGAAATCAAGTTGGCAATCTTGGTTGGAGTTGTCCCGGATGAGAGGACGCAAACCCCGGAAGCAACACAAGGTTTATAGATGCTCAGTATGAAGAGAAACTGGCCATACAAAAGCACAATGTAAAGAATGACCTTTAATTAAGTCATCCAGAAGAATTTGTGTTATGAATCTATGTATTGAGAATTTGTGTTATGAATCTATGTATGTATTAAGAATTTGTTTTATGAATTTGTTTATTTATTAAGAATTTGTTTTATGAATTTGTGTTAGACTCCTCAGACGACTAATAATTAAGTCGTCTGAAAATCTTCCGGCTGGATGACTTTCCAGACGACTTAATTATTAGTCGTCTACTAAGTCGTCCAGGTTTTATGAGTATGTTTTAAGTATTTGTGTTAGACTTCTCGGAAGACTAATAATTAAGTCGTCTGAAAAATATTCCGGCTGGATGACTTTCCAGACGACTTAATTATTAGTCGTCTACTAAGTCGTTCGGGCTTTATAAGTATGTTTTAAGTATTTGTGTTAGACTTCTCGGACGACTAATAATTAAGTCGTCTGAAAAATATTCCGACTGGATGACTTTCCAGATGATTTAATTATTAGTCGTCTACTAAGTCGTCCAGGCTTTATGAGTATGTTTTAAGTATTTGTGTTAGACTTCTCGGACGACTAATAATTAAGTAGTCTGGAAAATATTCCGGCGGGATGACTTTTCAGACGACTTAATTATTAGTCGTCTACTAAGTCGTCCAGTCTTTATGAGTTTGTTTTAAGTATTTGTGTTAGGCTTCTGAGACAACTAATAATTAATTGAAAGTCTTCTGTACAACAAAGTATGTTGGGGTTTTTGCAAAACCAACCTAAAATTTCAAGTCAAACACGAAACCAACCTCTTTTTTTTTGTCATTACTATTCACTCTTAAAAAACCTAAACTCTCCTCATGTTTCCACCTATTTACCAAAATGCCATTATTTTTAAATCTGATTTTATTTTCGAAAATTATAAAAAACCTATTACACCCTAAACATTTCTCCTTATTTACCATAATGCCATTGTCATCAATATTTGCAACCACCCAAA